ATAGCCTTCGTGTGGAGCCGGTATCCTCCTGTGTTCTCACCTCAAATGGGTAGAAGCACTGAGAGGCCCCGGTTAGTGTCGCCTTGCTAAAACTGTTCCAGAGAGTCCGTACTATAGACCCTGTCGAGCTCCTCCATTACCTCGGCAGCCAGACGTGGCAGAACGTCCAGCGCCAGGCCCTCACTCGATGAATCCGTGACAACCGGTAGAGGGCTAGTGTTATCCAATCTCACTGAGTGGGTAGTGCTACAACAACAGTGACTGGCCTTCTTGTTGCGAGCCCCGGCCTACACCAAGAAAGGGGCGCAGAAGGCTCGCACAAGACACTGGAAGGGGCAGCAGCATCCATGGCGCTTTGGTAGGGATCTCAATTCGTCGGTCACCGACGTGACTCGGAGTGAACGACTGAAAGGGAACTTCTTGTTTACGTATGTGACCCTCGTTCCCTGAAGGAGGGAATGGAGACGTCACGTCCCGTCGCCACAGCTGCTGTACCACCGCTGAGCAGCCGGGTCATTGGCTTGGCTCCTCAGCGAAAGCCTGAGTATGCGTTGCACCTGACTATAATGTAACAAGAGCTCGTTCAAATACTGAGGTGCTAAACTATTCAGGGCTTTATAAGTAATAAGCAGGATTTTAAAATCTATACGATGTTTAATAGGGAGCCAGTGCAGTGTTGACAGAACCGGGCTAATATGGTCATACTTCCTGGTTCTAGTAAGAACTCTAGCTGCTGCATTTTGGACCAGCTGGAGTTTGTTTATTAAGCGTGCAGAACAACCACCCAATAAAGCATTACAATAATCTAACCTTGAGGTCATGAACGCATTAATTAACATTTCTGCATTTGAAATTGAGATCACAGGTTGCAATTTAGATATATGTTTGAGATGGAAATATGCAGTTTTACAAATGCTAGAAAAGTGGCTTTCAAAGGAAAGATTGCTATCAAATATCAAACCTAGGTTCCTAACTGATGACGAAGAATTGACAGAGCAGCGATCAAGTTTTAGACCGTGTTCTAGATTATTACATGCGCAGGTTTTAGGTCTGATAATTAACACCTCTGTTTTTTCCGAATTTAGCAGTAAGAAATTTCTCGTCATCCAGGTTTTTATATCGACTATGCATTCCGTTAGTTTTACAAATTGGTATGTTTCGCCGGGCCACAAAAATATAGAGCTGAGTATCATCAGCATAACAGTGAAAGATAACACCATGTTTCCTGATGATATCTCCCAAGAGTAACATGTAAAGCGTGAAAAGTAACAGCCCTAGTACTGAGCCTTGGGGTACTCCATACTGCACTTGTGATCGATATGATACCTCTTCATTCACTGCTACGAATTGATGGCGGTCACATAAGCACGATTTGAACCATGCTAATGCACTTCCATTAATGCCAACAAAGTTTTCTAGTCTATGCAAAAGAATGTTGTGGCCAATAGTGTCAAACGCAGCTAGTACTGAGCCTTGAGGTACTCCATACTGCACTTGTGATCGATATGATACCTCTTCATTCACTGCTACGAATTGATGGCGGTCAGATAAGTATGATTTGAACCATGCTAATGCACTTCCATTAATGCCAACAAAGTTTTCTAGTCTATTCAAAAGAATGTTGTGGTCGATTGTGTCAAACGCAGAGCTAAGATTCAGTAGCACTAATAGAGAGATACAACCACAATCAGATGATAAGAGCGGGTCATTTGTAACTCTAATGAGAGCAGTCTCAGTACTATGATATGGTCTAAATCCTGACTGGAAATCCTCACAGATACCATTTTAGAGAGATGCATGATACTGGAAAGAAAGAAAAAAGAAGAAAAAAAACAACAACAAAAACTGACAATGTGATGTTTTGTGTTTCAGATTTAGACAGATTTGTGAACAATATTTGAGAGAAATAGGCCTTTTGGGTACATAGAAAAAGTCTTAGATCTTTGAGTTCAGCTCATGACAAATGGGGGCAAAAACAAAAGTGTTGCGTTTATAATTTTGTTCAGTATAAATAATGATATGGAAAAAAATACAGGAATTTTCTCTTTTTCTTATTTTGTCCTTTTCTATTTGTTCTCACTGTTCTCTCTTCGAAGCTGTAAATAAGACAGATTATTAGAGTATGCTTAATAAGAAAATACTTGTTCGGTTTTTCTACTTCAAAATTTAGTTTCATTGTGTTACTCGCCATTTTTGTAATTATTTGTGAAATTTACTAGAAGCTATTTTTAGAAAGAATTAATCATTCTATGACTGGAGTGATTCTGTTGGGAAGTAGATGTAACATAAAATACAACATAATACAACATAAAAAAACAACATAAAAATAAAAAAGCTGAAAATTTAATTTCCTCTGAAGACTTTTTGTCTGAACCATCTATTTTGGGCTTTTATTATTATTATTATTTTAAAGGACATATGCCCACTGTTTCGGACCAATTAATATAACTATGAAATATAATAATAATAATATATATTATTTGCATTGTTATTATTATTATTCAAATATTAAACAAAAAAAGAAATATATTGCAACAATAAATACTATTGAACTGTGAAATTGTAAGAAACTATAAAACTGCAGTACTATTATTTGTCTTAATTTCTTCATTTTCAAACGTTAAACAACTGAGCTTTTATTTTGGTGGCAAATAAATACACACACTGCAAGTTTCAGAGTAAAGCGTGTCACTGTGTTGTTCATTTACACACTGATAGTTCCTCAGAGCTTCATTCTGAAACCTGCAGCGCTTATATTTATTTAACTGAATCACAGGCTTTCAAGATTTGATAATCACACTTAGCCATATTGTGATATTGATTTTATTTATATATATCGTGCAACCCTACATTAGACCTTATTGAACTTCACTGTGGGCTCTTAAAAATAAAGTTACCAAAAGTGGGTTTTCACAGTGATGTCATAGTAGAACTGTTTTTGCTTCCCCAAAGATCCTTTTAAGTGAACAGTTCTTAAAAGAACCATTTTAATAATCCAAATAATATTTTTTTCACAATAAATAATCTTTTGTGCAATGGAAAGATTCTGTGGATGTTAAAGAGTCTACATCGAACAACGAGATGACAATAAAGAACCTTCAGTGTATGGACAAAAAAGCCTAAATTGGCCTCTGTAGCCAAGACATTGTAAATTGTGCTAATCAATCTCAATATGTCAGACAGCAATGGGGCCCTTCTTTAGCCTAGGGTCCCTGGGCTTAATCCCAGGTAAGCCTCTGCATTAATGCAGCCCTGCATGGAGACCAAAAAGCCCTAGAAATGATCAGACAGAGTTTTGCTGTGTTTAAATCTGTGGGAACATACTGTACACAGTAGTAATGTATTTTTATACCCAGTGATGGTAACTGTCAGCAGAGATAAAGCAGCAGCATCCGCGGCAGCTGTGTGCGGTAATATGGTGGGATGTGGATTTACATACCAAAGATGGAGACAATATGAATAACTGGTATATCATTTCCCATAACAGAGATCTTAATAGCACTTCTTCATTGCTTTTTGCATTACAGTGCAGTCATTTAGTGCAGTTGGAGATACGGCTCCTCCTTGCATTATCAGACATCTACATGTTACAATAAAGCACTTATTTTAAGGCCACCCATCTGAGACAGAACACAAATATCTCTGTTGAGCTCTAAGCAGCGGTTGTTTCCACTGCAGGACATTGAAGGACCTCACACAAATGTTTCCATGGTTCCAGAGAGGGCTGGTCAAGCAAACCGGGCATAAAAGGCAAAGGCAGTATGACTGCAAGGGCAACTGGGGAGAATGTAAGGTCACTGTCAAGTGTGACTTGAGAGAAAGATTTAGGACTTGAAGACTTGAAGCTTTTGAGTTTTGGTGTGAAGTGGTATTAATCCACTGAGGACAAACGGTGACCGTGATTTCACCAAGTACAACATGTTCCTGGATCAGCATCCTTGTTGATCCTGGAACAACATTCCTATCAACCAATCAGAATTGAGAGATAACTTTTCAGTAAATATCTGTTTTAGGCTTACAATCAGGGTTAGGTGCTTCTACACCCTTGTTAATCAGCTATCATTTCCCTCTGATTTTAGGAATAAATTATGGGTACGGTTAGGTTTAGGGGTAGGGATTGGGTTAAGTCTATATTTTTGGACAGTTATGTTGATCCAGGATCAACAAAAGATGTTGATCCAGGAACATGTCTTACTTGGCAAAATCACGGCGACTGAGGACAAACACATAAAATTCAAAGTTAAACAGAAGGCATTCTGGGTCTTGATAATGTAAAGGGTACAACTTTCCATTAATAGGGCACACATTGGAGATCCATTACTTTAAAGCATTACAAAAACACAGATCAGTGCGATTTAAAATGAGAAGTATTACATGTAAAATAATACTGTAATCTAACATAAAACACATTATGTAAAATAATCACATACAAATTAACCTTGTTAAAAATAAACCTTGTTACCACATGACTTTCTCCCTTAACAAAAAATAGATAATTCCATAAAATTTATTAATATTTTCCATAAAATTACTAGAAGTAGCATAATTTGGATAAACAATTTAAAAAGTGGCAACAATAATATAATAGTATTAAACAGTATCAAACCTG